TCACTTGGACTACTGCAAAAGCTGACCTCCCTGCTTCAGTCTTTGAGCCTCCTTCCACTACGGTTTTCTTCCTAACCCACTACTCTTATACTAATTCTCTGTTTAAAAATCCTTAGTCGAGTTAGGCACAGTGGCGCACACCTTTAATTCTAGTACTTGGGAGGCAGAAGCAGGAGGATCTCTGTGAGTTCAACGTCAGCGTAGTCTAGGTAAGTGAGCTCCAGGCAGTTGGGGCTACAGTGAGATCCTGTCTCAAAACAATAACAACAACAAATCCTTAGTAGCTTCCCCCTAAACACAAAATAAAGTCTAACCTCTTAAATTCATTGAAAATCTCTAGATTTGGTCTCCAATCTCTTCATAGCCCAATTTTCCACTATTCTCTCTTTATATTATATTTGCCACAGAATATAGTATTATATGTCCACTAGAAGCCCTTTCCTTTTAAAAAATATTTTATTATTTTTATTTTATGAGTATATTGTTTGCATGTAGGTAGGTGCACCTGTGTTGTGCAATGGCCATAGAGGTCAGAAGGCAGTGTTGGGTCCCCTGGAACTGGAGTTATGGATGGTTGTTAGCCGCCATCTGGGTGCTGGGAATAGAATCCAGGTCTTCTGCAAGAGCAGTCAGTATTCTTAATCACTGAGCCATCTCTCCAGCCCTGAGAAGCCCTTTCTTATGACCCTAAGATAAGCACTAATGGCTTCTTTCATTCATTTATATTTATCCATCTTTGTATCTCTATATACCACTCTGAACCTTCTTTATAATCTGCTTATTTAGGAGTTATTTATGTTTTTATCTTCCCTTTTGCAATAAAAGATCCTTGAGAGTAAGGCCTTCATCCTACTCATATGTATTACTATAAGTCCACAAAGAATCACAATGTTGTATATTGTTTTTTGAAAGGTCATGAAATATTTTAGTAAATACCCACTATTACATGATATTGTATTAGATGCTAAGCACATAAGGATTAATAAGCCATGGTTCTTGCAGTGGAAGTCAAAAGGAATAGTGAGTAAGAGAGACATGTATGTTCCTGTATTGTAAAATGGAAGTACTGCTTACTTGTACAACTTAGTATGATAATACAATGATAAAGAAATCCACTACATACTTTATAAGTACATAGGGAGTATGTTATCAGGAAATCACAAACCCAGGTTCTTTCTAGATAGTTGAGAATGCAGGAATAAATAAGTATGACTGACTGAATATTTTATGAAAATGGTGCTCTGAACTGTATCTCACTATGTACATATTAAATCCTGTAATTTAAAAATATTTTTATTTGGGCCTGGCGTTGTGGTGCATGTCTTTAATCCCAGCACTTGGGAGGCAAAGGCAGGCAGATCTTTGTGAGTTCAAGGCCAGCCTGGTCTACATAGTGAGTTCCAGGACAGCTGGGGCTACAAGGAGACCCTGTCTCCAAAAGACAGAGCCATCTCTCCAAGCCCCATATCTTAAATTCTTAAAGGGAAGAATAACCATAAAAGTGATAATGAGATATCAAGGCTGGAGCTGGAGAAATGGCTCAGTGGTTAGGTTAAGCGCACTTATTGCTCTTGCAGTGTATCTGAGTTTGGTTGTCAGTACCCATATAGGGCAGCTCACAACCACTTTGAACTCAAGTCGTAGGGGATTCAATGTTCTCATCTGGTCTCTGTGGGTACCTGTGCACATGTGGTACACATAAACTCATGCAGGCACACACACATTCAAATAAAGAGGGATCAAGGCTGTTCTCACAATAGGTCCAGTGGGTAAAGCTGTTCCTTCTAGGTGTCAAATGATGAGACTGCTTCCTTAGAATTGGAAGGCCAAGGGGACCACGAGGACTGCTTCAGTTCTCTTTGCAGAGATAGGAGTGATGGTGTCACTCCAGTGATTGTGAAGGACAGAGTATCAAACCAAAAGAATTCTTCTTGAGTCTTATGAGTTAGAAGGAGTTATGAGTTACTTTGGGGACACATTTCTCCTTCCTTTCTTCCTTCTGATTTCTCATTTTGGGGGGGGGAGTGGAAATGTCTATTCTATGCCTGTGTATAGTTGTATTTTGAAAGCAAATAAGTTGTCTGGCATCATTATGTTCACAGAAAGCAATGTTGTCTTAGGATAATCATAACTTGAGTCTCATCCACATCTCATTTATATAATACTTAGACAAGACTTAAGATTTTGGACTTCGATTGGGATGTTATTTTTTCTGTGATAAAGAGAGTGAGAGAGGATGGAATGCTATGGACTAAATTGTGTCTCCCTCCAATTTATATGTTGAAGCCTTAAACTGCAATGTGACTGTATTTGGAGACAGGGCCTATAAAGAAAGAGGTAGTTAAAGACGTAAGGTTGGAGCACAGATATAAGAGGACCAGGGTGCCTATAAAGAAAGAGGTAGTTAAAGATGTAAGGTTGGAGCACAGATATAAGAGGATCAGGGTGCTTATGAGAGATACTGGAGCAGTTTTCTTTTTGTGAGTCTCATTATCATGTGGGGGTTTAGAGAGAAGATCTATAGACCAGGAAGAGCCTTCATCAGAAAATAAGCAAGTCAGAACTCTGACACTAGATTTTTCAGTCTCTAGAACATGAGAAAACAAATTTCTATTGTTGGGTTAGCTCAATAGTAGAGTGCTTGCCTAGCATACATAAGACTCTGGGCTCACTTCCCAGAAAAACACATGTACAACCACACCCCCCCAACAAAATTCTATTTTTTAAGCCATCTAGTCTATGATATTTTGTTATGGCAGTCTGAAAAAAAACTGACATACAAATTAAACATTTTAGTATTTATCACTGCAGTGAATATGTGGGCAATATCTTTTGCCTGTCAATTGACTTCCTTTTGCAATATTGAAAGAGACAACTCATATCCATTAGCGTACTTTAAATTCCGTTAATATGGGAAGGGATACTTTAAGAAGACAAACAGTTAAAAGAATTGTTTGGACTGACTGTTGGTTTCTTTTGCTCATCTCTATAAATGCAGAGTTCTGAGTTCTTGTAGTTTATTCCTTTAAAGTTGTATAATCAATTAGGCACTTCTGGAAATGCCCAGAAGGTCTTCAAAGAGACACTTATATTCAGCATTTAGTGTAAAATACCCTTTCCCAAACCTGCCAACAACTCCCAGTGTATAATCACTTGCCACCTGTTCTTTTGAGATTGCTTCTGCATCATTACAAGCAAAGAAATCAATACCAGACCATTGATTTAGGAAAGAGACAAGATTGCATGGCAATAATACATAAAGTTAGTCAAGCCCTACTTCTCAATTGTTTTGAAAGAACAGATAGTTCTATGGCCCTTTCTGAAATAGGTACTCATTCTGCATTGGTGATATTATAACAATAAAGACCCAAGATAGATAAGGTACTATAACCCCAATTGATGTAATAACTCTTGAGTGCTACGTAGAATCTCAAAATGCTTTTTTAGACTCAATAGTAATATATTAACTTGAGTCCACATCTTCTCTCTGCAGTTTATCCCTTGGTTTAATTTTAAAAGTGTGGACTGTAGTAGAGGGTCAAGATAGAGATGTAAGTGCTGCAACTGCAGAGAGCAGCCAGCTGAGATGATGGCATACATTGTCTTGACAGACAGGTAAGGCCAGTTGTTTACCTTACCCATTAATTTATTAAGATACCATCTGGTCTTCCTAAGATAAATTAACATGTAAAAGTCATTTAAATATGTTAATTGGTTTTGAACCAGTGAATAGAATCAGTAAAAGGACGCTATGGGAATGGAGAATATAATCTTAACTTTACACAGAGCTTTGTGTTTTTAAAACATTTTCACTCGCATCATCTCACCTGATCCTCACCTCAGTCCCATAAAGTATGCAGATTATCACTGTAAACATTTGGAAGAGGAGAAAATTGAGCCCCAAAGATTTAAAACTCTCTTAAAGTTGGGAAGAAACTAATGATAGTGACATTTTGCTCTTAACAAAACAAGTCTCATGACACCATTACTGACAAAGCTACTAAGTAGTAAAGCCAGGATCAAAACCCAAATCTTCTGAATATCATAATCCATGCCATATTTATTTTACTCCTGGAACTTATGGAACTGGGCAAGAATCCTTAGTGTCAAGCGTTCTGGGTATCCTGAAGTAGCAGGCTGTCTGGAATGTGTCTTCATTCTCAATGTGATAGGATTTAGAAATACCAGGGAAACATATTTTTAGCTTTGTCTATGAGGATGTTTGCAAAAAATTTTAAAAGTAGGAAAGACCCACTCTAAATAAGGTCAGCAACATTCCATGGGCTGGGGTCCTATTAGTAAAAAGGAGAAAGTGGTACTGGAGAGATGGTTCAGCTGTTAAGAGCACTTGCTGCTTTTGCAGAGGACCCAGGTTCAGTTTGCAACACCCAAATGGTGGCTCACAACTGCTTCTAAATCTAGTTTCAGGGGATCCAATGCCCTCTTCTGGCCTTTGTGGGCACTGCACACACAGGATGCACATACAAACAAGTGGACAAAACATTCACAAACATAAGATAAAAATAAATCTTAAAAAAAGGAGAAAGTGAGTGGAACACCAGTATGCATCTTTCTCTGAATTCAATGTAGCCAGTCAACCCAGTACCTGTTGTCATGCTTTCCCCAGCGTGATGAACTATATCCCCTCCAACTGAAGGTCAAAATAAACCCTCCCTTAAATTGTTTCTTGCAAAGTATTTGGTCATGGCAATGAAAATAGTAATTGTAACTAATCAAAAGTCTTTCCAAGCTCCCACAGAATTTTTGTTTACCCCTATCTTAGCATGCAGTATGCTGTTGTAACTCTATTTCCTATGTCCATTTTTCCTCTGAATAATAAGTAAGCCACTTGCTTATTAGCGAATCTGCTGTTAAGTAGAAGCTCACTAACTTTTACAGAACAGAGGAAATGGAGAAAAGAAACTGAGAAAGAAGAATGGGCCCATACCAGTAATAATGTGTTGATTAAGATTAAGATGAGATTTATAGCATTTTCTTACCTTGACTGCATAGTTATTAAGTGGATCTTTTGCATATGAGGCAGTGTAGTAAACAGCATCACCTGCTTCACAACATGGTTTGTCACTGGTTAACCTAAAGTCTGACCAGCTGTCCACCCCAAAACGGAGTTGGTCTTTCTGCCCAGCCATGAAGAGGTCTTCACATTTAACAGCCAGTTTCTTCAAGGCATCTGTATGAAGGCTTCGGATTTTACCCACCACTTCCTCTCGGTTTTCAAGTCCTCGATAAAGTGCTTGTCTCTGTGGTTTCTGGATGATTCGACCCTGTCTGCAGGGGAGACCACGTCGGCTGGACAGGGACTCCATGCTGTTGGAAAATCTGTCTTTAATACTAAGAGTGGTTAAGCTGGTGATACTGTTTGCTGCTGAAGGGACAGGTCTCTCCTTGTGCAAAGGTCTCTCCAAGGAGTCACAAGACTCAATGTCCAGTCCTTTGAGTTCATAGCTAATGGAAGAGCCAGCACTGCTGGCATCCCAGTTGGGATCAATATCATAGGTAGGATTAGCCACGACATAAAGACTACTTTCCATGGATTTCTGAAGGTCTCTGGAGATTGGTTCTGTATTGGCTCTTATCATTTTCTTTGGCAGTGGGGGTGGTGTGGGTTGGGAAGCACTCAATATTTCTTGGTCTGTTTTCTCTCCGAAGGCAATGGCGTCATCCAAAGCTCCCTTGGGCTGCCGTGGATGCTTGGGAGGTATCATAGCTGCTCTAGATTGGCCTGCATTATTTTTTTTTAAAAAGGAAAGAGAATTAATAAAAATTTTCAGTCTCATCTCATAATTGAAGCTAGAGTAGAAATAAATGAAGTAGGTATGGGGAAATCTAAGAATCATTTAATATTTTCATTGAAAATGTGAAAACCACAAAGGGTCAAATTCCCCTACATTAAAAAGTATGGGAGCAACAAATATAAATTATGCATCAGCATTTCTTTCAGAGGGGTGGGACACTGGCTGGGGCCAGTTTACATGATAGGCTTTATGGATAGCTTTAGTGTCAACTTGACACACCTGGGTTGAGGCAGCCTCAACTGGAGAATTACCTCCATTGGACTGACCTGTGGTCATGTATGTGAGGCATCTTCTTGATTATTGAGTGATTTGGGAGGGACCAGCCCACTGTGGGTGGTGCCATCCTTGGGCGGGTGGACCTGTGTTTTATAGTATAAGAAAGCAGGTTGAGCAAGAGCCAGGGGAGCAAGCCAGTAAGCAGTGTTCCTCCATGGTCTGTGCTCCAGCTCCTGCAACCAGGTTCCTGCCCTGAGTTCCTACGAGATGTAAGACAAAATATACCTGTTCCTCCCCAAGTTGGTATTGGTCAGAGTGTTTTGTCACAGCAATGGAGAAGCAAACTAGAACACTTTTTTTTTAAAAAAAAAAAAAAAAAAAGAAAGCTGATTCTCCAGTCCTGTCCCTGTCACTCACCACACCAGAATATTAAGGAAGGACAAATACTAAAGACCCTTGCATTCTGACAGTAGAGATGACAGCATTTGGGACAGCATTTGGGAATCAAGAAAATACTTGAGAGCATTATTGAAAACAGAATAGAAACTAGGAATGGGACCACTGTACAGCAGCCTGAGAAGATACTGTTTTGTTGTTTATAACATCTAAATTTACATTGTATTAGCACTCTATCTATCTATCTATCTATCTATCTATCTATCTATCTATCTACACTTATAATATATGATACAGTTTCTTATATAATGGAAAGAAGACATTATATTTTTGTTTTTGAGACAGGGTCTGGCTGTAGTCCACCTGGTCTGGAACTCACTATGTAGACTACATTGGCCTCAATCTCAGAGATCTGCCTGCTTCTGCCTTCTGAGTACTGGGATTAAAGACATGTGCCAACACACTGGATGAAGACATTATGTTTTAAAAACAGAATATCATGAAACTTCCACAAAAGCTACTAAAATTAGTTGCATTATTAAAATGAGGCCTCTACTCAAGAGACAGAAGTAGAGCTTAATGCCTTGCTATGGATTGCATTATGTTGCGGTCTTAACCCCTGGTACTTGTGAATTGGTCCTTATTTATAAATAGAGTCTTTGTTAATATAATCAAGTTGAGGTTGTTAGGGTAAGGACCTAACAAATATGACTGATACCCTGATAAGAAGAAAACACAGGGCTGGAGAGATGGCTCAATGGTTAAGAGCACTGGCTGCTTTAGCAGAGGATCTGGGTTCCATTCCCACATCAGGTGGCTCACAACTGCCTGTAATTCCAGTTCCATGGGATCCAACTCCCTCTTCTGGCCTCCTCAGGCATTTGCACATACATGGTACACGTACATACTGCACACACAAATACATAAAATTTAAAAACTAAAGCTGGGTATGATGGCACATACCTTTAATCCCAGCACTCAGGAGACAGAGGTGGGCAGATCTCTATGAGATCAAAGTCAGCCTAGTCTACATAGTGCGTTTGAGGCCAGCTGGGGCTACAGGGGACCCTGTCTCAAAAAAAAAACAAAACAAAACAACAACAACAACAAAAAAAAACGGAAAATAAAAAAAAAAGGAAAATACAATACAAAGACAAATAGGAGGAATACTATGTGGTGATAGAGGCAGAAAACATCCAGACTGGAAAGAAAATTATTCTACTATTCTAGATGATGTAATCCTGCATTTTGAGAAGCCCAAGGAATCAGATGGGTATCTATTACAAGTAATATGCCAGGACTGAAGATGTAGCTCAGTTGGTAGAGTGTTTGTCTTGTATGCCAGATGACTTGAGTTCAATTCCCAGAATCCAATAAAACTGGGTGTGGTAGGATATGCTTACAATTTTATTTGGGAGGGGCAGGCAGGAAGATCAAGAGGTCAAGGCCATCTTCAGCTACAAGAAGTTTGAGGCCAGCTTTGAGCCCAGCCTGAACTATGAGACCCATCTCAAAAAGAGAAAAAGAAGAAAAAAAAAAAGAAAAAAAAAAAAAAAGGAAAGCGGGGCTGGAGGGATGGCTCAGTGGTTAAGAGCACTGACTGCTGTCTGTAACTCCAGTTCTAGGGGCTCCAACACCCTCTTCTGACCTCCACAGACATTGTATGACACTGGCGCATTTACACACATGTAGGTAATACACTCATACACATAAAATAAAAATAATAGCAGGGCATGGTGGCACATGCCTGTAGTCCCAGCACTTGGGAGGCAGAGGCAGGCGGATCTCTGTGAGTTCAAAGCCAGCCTGGTCTACATAGTGAGTTCCAGGACAGCTCGGGCTACAGAGAGACCCTGCTTTAAAAAGACACACACACACAAAATAAAATAAAAATAATAAATAAAAATATTTTTTAAAGGGAAGTAAAGAATATGCCAGTTCATCAAAACTGCAGGATATAAGATCAATATTCAAAAATCAATTGCAATAAGCAATCCAAAACAAACACTAATAAGCCTGTTTGCAATATCAAAGAGAACAAAGTATTTAAGAACAAATTTAATTAAGCAAGATTTGTACACTGAAACTACACACTGCTGAAAGACATTTTTCTAATTTTAATTTTTTTGTTTTTTTTGAGACAGGGTCTCCCTGTAGCCCCAGCTGGTCTGGAACTCACTATGTAGACTGGGCTGGCCTTGACTGCACAGAGATCCACCTGCCTCTGCCTCCCGAATGCTGGGATTAAAGGCATGCGCCACCATGCTGGGCTGCTGAAAGACGTTTAAAAAATACTTAAATAAATTTAAATTAGTGATGTTATTAAAGTAAGTCACATTATTAAAATGACTAATTTATGCAGTCGATTTATGCTCATGGATCAGAGACTTTAATACCATTATGATAGAAATATTCCCCAAATTGACCTATAGAGTTAATATAATCCCTATTCAAAATCACAGTTGAATTTCTTGCAAAAATTGATGTGGGGACCCTAAAATTCATGTGGAAAAACAAGTGGCTTAAGGGTAGTAAAAAACAGTCATAACTTATTACAAACTATAGTTATTAAGACAGTGTGGCACTAGTATAAAAGAAATTTTAAAAACTTGACAAGGCACAGAAATCATTGTGTCCTTGAGTTGGGCAATGGTTTCTTAGATATTATACAATATACAATAACAAGAAATAGATATGGTACAAGTAAAAAAACTGAACATATGTTTCAAAGGGCATCTTTAAGAAAGTGAAAAGAAAATGCCAGGCCTGGTGGCACTCCCTTGTAATCCTAGCACCCTAGAGGAGGCTGAAGGCAGCCTGGGCTACATAGCAAGACCTTGGAAAGACATCAAAAAGGAGGAAGAAAAGGGAAGGAAGAAAGGAGAAGAAAAGGAAGAAAGTGAAAAGACAACCTAGAGAATAGGGGAGCATGCATTCAAATTAGATATCTGGTAAGAGACATCTCTAGAATATATAAAGAACTCTTACAAAAATGGTTAAAATTTGGGCAAAAAATTCACATAGGCATTTCTCCAAAGATGATATACAAATGGCCAATAAATACATGAAAGATGCTCAACATCATTACTCATAAATAAGTGTAAACCCATTCCATAATGATTTAATACTTTGTACTCACTAGGATCACCATAATTAAAAAAAAATAGGTAAGTAGTTGGGAGGATTTGGAGAAATTCAAATGCTCCTACTAGCTTTTACATTGTTAGTAGAAACTGGCAATATAGCTAACTTGGAAAACAGTTCAGAAGCTTCTCAAAAAGTTAGACACAGAGTTTACCACATGGGCCAGCATTTCCACTCTTATGGAGCTGGAAATAAAACATATGCCCATATATAAACTTGAACACAAATGCCAATATCTGTATTATTTCTAGCAGTCTAAAAGTAGAAAACAACCCAAATGTCTATCACCTCATGAATGGGTAAACAAGATGTGGTACAGCCATACAATTGAATATTATTCAACCACAAAGAGGAATGAAATACTGATATATACTGCATAGATGAACTTTGAAAATGATACCACTGTTGTATATATGCTTAGAGAAAAATGTACACAAGTCACATCTGAGGTCCCAAGGATGGATCAACAAGAGTGTGGAGAACAGATTAAAGAAACACTGCCCAGAAGCAGAATGTTTGAAGAGAGAGGGAAGAGTCAGGGGTAAACATAGTGCTAGACCACCTTAGCATGTATGAGGCCCTGGGTTTGATCTCCAACACTTCAGGGAAAGAAACCAGTCAGAAATGACCACGTGTTGCATAATTCCACTAATATGAAACATCTAGATATATATAAAACTATAGAGTACATGTCAGTGGTTGCCAAGGATTAAGAGAAAAGGAGAACGTAGGTGACAAGGACTTGGTTCTGTAATGAAAATGTCCTAGAATTAGATGCAATGAATCTATGGTATGCAAATTGTATCTCAATAAAGCAAACCAACAATCCACAAATTCAATTTCAGCCATATGTTCTCATTCCCCTGTGCCCTTATTCACCAAGAAGGTCAGGATTTGGCATTTATTGAACTCTTCCTGTAATGGTGAGACCTCTTCCCAGAGCTGCTCTAGCCCTATTTTTCCTTGGTTAATGTGAGAAATCAGAACATGGTTTATTTACAAGATAACAGAAGTATGTTCTGCAATAAGCCCTCATTTTTCAGTTGCTGGCCCAGACCTTTCAGAGATGGAAGTGCCACAGAGAATGGTAGAAACAGTGAAATGTTTCAGCTCAGGCCTTTATCTTCTTCCTGACCACTGTGACAGTCTCCGGTTTTCATTATCTCCTCCT